CCCCCCCCCCCCCCCCCCCCTCCCCTCTTTTTTCTGTTTCCATGTAATTTGCGACGAACGCGAAACTGTTCCAGATTTTCACGGAGCTCATTACCAACAATGCTGCTGCTGCTTTGGCAACTCCGATCGCGTTCAGCATCTCTCGAGAGCTCGAGGTAACGCGCAGTGAAGGGACCCGCCTTGTTTTCTTGCGAATTCTAGTTTCAAGCAGTTCCCAAGTGCGGGGAGGCGATGCGCTTTTTGTTGCGTAGACTGAAATCTGTGTTCTTTGCTAGCGGTTCTCCTCCAAAACCAACCGGAAACGGCTCCAAGGGTTAGCTATCCTTGAGTTGTGCCATTGCTGCGATTGGTTCTTGGTGGAGAGTTATCGTTTGCACTGTTCGCACCTAGCCAACTAAGGGCTTGAGCGACATCTGTGCCATGAGCATAGTCTCTGCCGTGTTGGATTCTTTTTCGCAAGACCAGAGAGAGAGAGAGTAAGGAGGGCAAGAGTTATCGCTAATTCTCGCGTAACTGACCCCCATCCCCGCCCCCCGAGTTTTTATGCTTCGGCTTTGTCGCTAACCCCGTACCATCGTCGCAGGTGAGCTACAAGCCGTTCATCCTGACGGTGATGTTGGCGGCAAGCAGCAGCTTCATCACGCCCATCGGGTACCAGACGAACACCCTTGTTTGGGGGCCCGGCGGTTACAAGTTCACGGACTTCATGAAGATAGGCACCCCGCTATCCTTGATCTACCTTGTGCTTGGGTCCTTGCTCGTGCCACAGATTTTCCCGTTTTAGATAGGAGGCAGATTTTCCCGTTTTAGATGGGAGGCGGGAAAATTGTTTTCGGCGTTGTCTTTCTTCCAAGGGCATTGCGGTGGCTGTCGACCACCGACTTTGTTGTGGCGCGCAAGACGACCCGTGTTTTCTTTTCTTGTATCGGCGTGCGGATGGAGATGATGCGGGGTTTCCCACCCTGAGGAGGGCGTTTTCTTTTCGCCGGCGTTTTTTGTTTTTTGGACATTCAGTGTGTAGAGGTTCGAATGACTGCCGTACTGCCGGTGGGTGCGGTTGCTGCGTCGTAGGAGGGTTGGGTCAAGTCTCAGAAGTCTGCGTTTGCTTACCAGGGCTGGACAGACCCAACGGGTTCGGGGCGAACAGCGGTGACCTAAAGTTATGTGGCAGCTAGATACATGGTAGGTTTTCTTGCGAGCCTCGTGTAAGGTCTGGGGCTATTATTGGAGTGTTGTGATGTAAAGGCGCCCTCTTGCCGCGCGTGTCCGGGGGGGGGGGGGGGGGGGGGGTAAAAAGTTTTGGGGAAAAATTTTCGGGGCCCCCCCCCCCCCCCCCGGGAAAAAAGAGGAAGGGAAGGGGGGGTAAAAAAACCCCCCCCCCGGAAAAAGGGGCCTTTCCCTTCCCCCAACAAAAAATTTTTTTCCCCACCGGGGGGGGGCAAAAACCCCCCCCCCAACCCCCCCCGGGGTTAAAAAGGGGGAAAAAACCCTTTTGGGGGGAAAAAACGGTGGGCTTTTTTCGGGGGGGGGGG